CTTCAATAGATGTATGTTTATAAAATATCATTCAGTTTTTTAATTTTGTATGAATTTTATTACAAATAATTACGAATAACTGAGTTCAATTTGCAAAAGAAAGAATTTGATTTACAAAAAGGTGTATAATACCGGTATAAAAACAGTGTATTTGTACTGTATAACTATTTGTTAATACTATGTAAATGATAGGTACAAATAAATGAATGATAATATAAAAAATAAAAATAAATGTTATGCAAAATAGGTGTAAGAACGCACTACGGACCAAAAATGTACAAGGAGATTATTAAAATGTTATTTAATTCTGTCAATTATGATATACAAATATTCCTTTTCAGGATGTTTCTTCTTAAAATTCTTTCCTGTACAGTTATTACATCATGTACAGATATCATTTAGTGACATAGTGATTGCTAGCACAACGTATAGTGCGTTATCCAGTCATTCGTTAAACAGTGCCGAGGATCGGTAGTTTGTTGATTAATCAGTTTTAAAACAGTTTTGTTAATTAATCAATGACCCGTGCGTCAGCTTGGCTGCGTTTGGTTCGTGACCTTGGAGCTTGACAATTACGAGGCGCGGATCATTCGCCAATCGGAAAGTCGTCTGCCGTCAAACAAGGAAACCGAGAACGAGGGCGGATCAAGGGTGGCAGTCAGGGAACCGCGTTCTTTTGTTTCGACTGTATCATTTTACTCGACGGAGAAAACGTTCTCGTCACGGGTCTAGTTTACGGAGAGCAGAGATATAGTAGAATCCACGTGTTCCTTTCGCTCTCTTTTTCGACTCCCTTTCGCCGTTCCACCGTCGGGACGGATCCGAACTGTGGTTCATAGTTGGTACGCGAGTTAGTGTGCGAGTGCCGCGAACAATCGGTAGACCGCCACGGACATTCCGGCGTCAACAATCTTATCGCGGAAGGGTGGATTTTCTATTAAGAAGAGAATCTAATCTAATTCTCTCTTCTTCGAATCCCCAAAACAGTGAATCCCCCTAAACTTTTTTTTTTCAATCGATATACGTTGTCGTGTACAAAATAATAATAGCTTATGAACTTTTCTGAAAAGGTTGTTAACAGAAAAATGGTTTATCATTCGAACTGAGAATATCAATCGCAGTATTCTTTAAAAGACTACGCGGTAAAATATGAAATAATTGAAAATATTAAATAATAATTCTCTACTATATTACAGAGACTATATTACGCAGATATTTTCTACATGGCACAGTCGTCGCTTGATCTTTTCCGCGGCCTCGCAACGACGCCACAACATTCTGGCCTTAGCGATGTTACCGCGGAAGGGTGAATTTTCTATTAAAAGAAACGGGAAGAGATACGTACGTACGTACGTTCGTATTCGCCGGTTAAATCTTTAACAAGATTTACATATCCGATGAATGAACGAACATTGGACCAATTTGATTTCTATTGTGCAAGACTTAAACTTCTATTCCAAATTTATTTCGACGGAAATACATACATACGAATCGATTGTCGAACGAAAGTAACTGGCGAAAGTGAAAATGTCAATGCTTTCGTGAGCACATAACATACGTTCATACACTCTAGCGAGATACCCAGACATTGAATTTTCACCAAGAATTCCAGATTATTCCAGTGACCGAATAATGAGACTTTCAACTTTTTTAAATATCCACACACGCTCGACCGACTGGAAAAGCGTGCATGGTTAATGCTACACGAATTCAACAGTTCGAATGGCCCAGTTAACAATTTCAATTTCGACTGGTTCAAAAAGGCTAGACGTACGTATTTACTTCGCGAACCAATTCGAATATGAATCTATACTTAGTCTATGAATAGAAATTCTTATAAAATTGAAACCGTTACACTCATAACTAGATTGCGGATTTTATATATTTATGACAAAACTGAGTAATTCAAATACAAAAAACAATAAATACATTTAAAGAATTTGAATTTACTGTTGTATTACTTCGAACTCGATAACATAATTAGAGCAAGAAAGAAATGTTTTTGTAGCTTTTCTATCTTGCAATTAATGCAAACAATGTTTATTTTAAAAGTTTGCAGTCTACTCGTAACATCGAAGAATTTCGAAAACTTTGATCTTGCTGCCTTATCCAATTTCCTAAGTCCAATAAAAATGCATAATAACGTAATAGTGTCTCAGTGTGATAAAACGAATTTAAATACAATCGAAGGCAGTATAACAAATTGACGATTGCTTGACAGTAGTTGATGAGAACAATATTGGAATGGTAAGAAATATTTGGTGAAAATCGAAGTTCGAACGTTATTGACAGCCTTAGTAGAAAGGTGTAATTTAATAAAATATCAAATAAAGAAATAATTGATGAAATGATCGCAACATTTCGTAACATAAACAGTAAAAAGTATCGTCGAAAGATAGCCGGTAATAGAAAAATGTACTACTTCCGAACGGATTAGATAGCGAACTGACGATTGACCGCGAAGTCGTGCAGCCTCGCCTAGAGTCGTGACCGCCAACCGCAGGAGGGAAACATCAAAACAAACCAATGTTTAGTGTAATCGTAATTTTTCGAACGACGTAACATTTCTCGCTGCTTGTTTACTGTCACTGTAAATACAGGAAGTAACCGTTTCAATCTCTTCATTCCCTTCCACATTTGGCTGTCAATGCACCACCAAATAAGGAAGGGCATTCCGAACTAACGCTAAACAGTACGCAACGTGTTTCGACCACACCACGCCGAGTGATCGGTGGGAATGGTTGAAAACAGTGCATTCATGACAGAAATTGACAGAAGGGGATAGGAAAGACGCAGAAAGAGTGAAAACTTACCGAACTCTGCGGGGAATTGGATACACTAGGAGATCGCTGCACGGTGACCAACGCCATGATAATGGCCTCCCACGTTGTCCAAATGCTGGAGATAACACTCACTACCACTATGCACACACGTACAAACGATCGTGTCCTTCGAGCCACGAAAAAACAATCATTTTTTACGCGCTTCCAACGGCATCACGCACGCGGCAGCCATGTTTGATACAGTCTAATGTAGCGACGGTTTGCGCATGCGTACAATCATGGCGTGCGCACCCCTCGATTCTGCTTATCGTACACGACGACGTCATTACCATCGGCTATTTTTTCCGATCTCAATGTTTCAATTAATATTGCGTGATTTCAAGTGTTGTGACGAATGCTTGAAAATGTAATATAACGTTAACACGAACATTCTTTCTATTCGAAAGTTGGTAGCAAAAATTATTTTAAGGCATCGAATTAAATCGTTTTACACTTTGTTCTAAAATGTTGTATTTATTTTTACAGTAGCATCAGTTGAACTTTATATATTTGCCTACAGGGGAACAATGATAAAAGTTAAGAAATATTCAATAGACAGTAAATATATTAAATGTGAAAATAAGTGCGAATACATTTCTAATTATAAACGAAATATAAACTTTTCAAAAGTTCTTCACTTCACAAAGAAATGTGAACATGTTTATCTAATAAATCTGTCTTCTACTTCAATTAAACTGTATCGTTTCAAAATGAAGGAAACTTATACATAAAGTACTATAAAATACGCTGTTAGGTCACTGGTGCAAGTCTTTTAAAATTTATATGACACAAAATATTTAAAATCTATCGATACTATAAAGAAAGCTAAGTGCATCGATTCGATTGTAAATCGAGAGTTTGAAATCGTTTTCGAATGTATGTGACAGTGGCATTTTTCAATATTTTCTGTATTTGATTGAGATACGTGTGCACGTGTAAAATGTTAAAAAGAAACATGTACGTGTGTATTCTTATTATTATGAATCATAATTTAACCCTTCCATTTCCAACACTGACCATAGTCGGTATCTATGCTGGAATTTGTGGATATGAATATAGATTATAATAATCGGATCTATGGTAATAAACCATGGAGACACCGACTATACGCTCAGATAGGAATACATATACACTATTACACTTTACTTTATTTAAATACTCTTTACGGCAGAAATGAAATCACCTCGAAGGAATGTGGGTTTGATTGGATATGAGATACATATCATTTTGCTATTGGTTAAAATGACAGTACCAACAAATCGAATTATGAACAAGCAGGGTCTCCTCTTACCCCTATGTTGTATATACCGCGTGACTTCTTTCTTTGTATATACATATATGTAGTATGGATATAGCTCCAGAAATGTGCATGCGTACATACATACATAGTATGTATATGTATATACTGTTCATCGCACGACTACTCTACCGACCCTACCTTATAATGCACGGTAATCATTCGCCGTGAATTTCTTCATAAAGCGAAACAATACTCGTGGACACGTGCGCTATTAAAAAAGGGTTTAATGTATGTATTATATTTACAAGAAATTGGTGCTCAATCTTTGTTAAATACGAAAAATGGCAAAAATTTTTACGCCGACGAATCAAATAAGATTAACCAATGTGGCTGTGGTACGAATGAAAAAGGCAGGAAAACGATTTGAGATTGCCTGTTATAGAAATAAAGTTGTTTCATGGAGAAATAAATTGTAAGTTCTTAATTATCTATTGAAACAAAAATTTGCATCGTACTATCAATCTGTCTTTCTCACATAGCCTAACCTATAAACTAGGGAACATTTTTTAACAATTTACGTATCAAGATCTTGAACTTCATTTGTGATTACTATAGCTTTACTACGTTTCAGAGAGAAAGACATTGATGAAGTTCTACAAACACACACAGTTTTTATAAATGTTTCAAAAGGGCAAGTTGCAAAAAAGGAAGACCTTATGAAAGCTTTTGGTACAGATAATCAAACTGAAATTTGTAAAGAAATTCTTACTAAAGGGGAACTACAAGTTTCAGATAAAGAAAGGCATTCTGCCCTAGATTCTATGTTTAAAGATATTGCAACGACCGTTGCTGATAAATGTGTAAATCCAGAAACCAAACGCCCATACACAGTAACAATGATAGAAAAAGCTATGAAGGATGTTCATTTTTCTGTTAAACCAAATCGAAATGCTAAACAGCAAGCTTTGGATGTTATTCCTCAATTAAAAGTTATAATGCCACTAGAACGAGCTCAAATGAGATTAAGAGTTCAAATTTCGAACAAAGAAGCAAGAAAAACAAGAGATAAAATAGTTAAGCTAGCTACAAAATTAGAAAATGAAAATTGGGATAGTGGAACATTAAATTTAATATGCCTAATTGATCCTGGCCAATACAGAGAAATAGATGAACTGGTGAGGTCTGAAACAAAGGGTTCTGGATTTCTAGAATTACTAAATTTAAAGGAAGTTAT